TAGCTGCAAGATGAACCAAGGTTGACATGTCACACAACTTCAGGAATCACAGTACCCTCTCATCAAGTTTGCACAAGAGTTCCAAAAGCAGTTTGGATAATTCCTGCTTTGTTGGAAAGGACTTCTTTTCCAGCCTGTTGGACACTGAGCTTGTCCCCACCAACATGACTGTGTTTGTCAAGATTGCAATCCTGGCAACCCAAGTCTCATGCCCAGAAAGCAAGAGGGTAGACAATTTTTCCAGGTTTGTGACCAAGGGAGACATCCAGATGCTCAAAGGCAAGAAGTACCAAGGCAAGGTTGTTGATGCGGAGAAGATGCTGTCACAATGCTGGGACAACATGCAGGCCAATCCCATGGCCACCTTTGAGAAGAACAAGGTGTTTGGAAGGTTGTGCTTGAGAACTACCCTTCACCTTTTGTCCAAGGAGAAGTCTGGAAGAGATACAACTGAATTTGCCAACCTTCAAGAAATCAGGGGATGCATTCACAGAAGACCTGAAGGCAATGCCTCAGCAGCACCAGCCACAAGCCTTGCAGATGCATTCTTCATCCAAGAAGGAAGATGCTGTGTCTTTGGTAGATGGCCAAAGCCCACTCTTCATGGCCAACTTGAAAGTACCTTTGAAAGTTGGGCATGCGGCTTATTGCCACAAGGATCACCCCAGCAAGATCTTCATCATGGACAACAAGGATGACACCTATGCATACCTGTCTTCCCAGGATTTGGTTTCTGGGCAAAAGACAGATTTGAAGTTGGAAGGCAATGAGATCATGGAGAAGCTGAAGGCCACCAAACAGAAAGATGGCTATGTTATTGAAGGTGGTGCTTTGGCCAAAACATTTCCCAGTGTGACATGCCAAGATGAACTGGTGAGAGGCACAATTTTCCAGGGTTTGTCCCAGCTGTATGAAGAGAAGGACACTGATGAGAATACCATCAAGTTTGTGAGTGTGCCTGGCAAAGGTCTCAAGGTCTTTGCCTTGCATCCCATCAAGAAGCATGACTTGATTCTGGTGTCAATGTGTGACCAAGTGGCTGCCATCCAGTTTTCTGAGCCAAAGAGCAAGCTTTGGGCAAGTGGCAAATGGGATGGCAGGATGTTTTGGATCCTCCCTCCCAAAATTGCCAAGGGGCCAACAGACTCCACTTTAGTGCCATAGTTTCAAATGAAAGAAATTGAGGATGGACAAATGGCACCATTTCAGCTTGACTTTGGAAAGCTGAAAGTGTTAGGCTTGAGGAACACCACTGCCATCCAGAAGCATGAAGAGATTGGCTTGTTGATGGATGCTGATAAGCAGCCACCTGCCAAAAAGAAACGAACTTGAAAGCAAGTTCACAGAAACCAACTGGTGTGCACATGAGGCTGCAAAAACAACAGAATTATTTTTGACACTTGCTTGCAAGACAATGTTGAATCTTCCAGCCATTCCCTTGGCTATATGTCTGTGTGTTTGGCTTGCTTGTATGATATGTTCAGCTGGCTTGCTGGGTGCACCTAAATCTTTGAACCATGGCAGCCATTTTGAAAAGTGTGAACTTTGGGTAAGCTACTGCCATGGCCATGAATGTAGCACTGAAGAAGCAGCACTACATGTTGCTGAATGGTGAGAAGTGGGCAATCCCTGACAACATGATTGCAGAGAAGATGGGCAAAGAGTGGCTCCTCCTGTTTCCTACCAACTACTCCCTTTGCAAACTTATCCAAGGTGAGACCTTTGATAGGAGCAAGAACTACAACCTGAAGAACATAGCAGCTTTTGAAGCTCTGGTCCAGCAAAGGAATGTGAAAAGCAATCTTGTTGCTGAGGAAGAAAACCTTTTTTGCAGATGCCAAGGATACCAACAAACCTTCAGCCAAAAGAAGAAAGACTACACCACAATAGGACCAAGAGATCACCCTGGACTTGCCAGATGCTGGTGGTACCATCAGGTGCTTGGGTGCCAAGAAGACCAGTGAAGCATTGGCAGTAGAACTGACTGAAGCCAATTTGGCCCATTTGTTTTCCTTTTTACATGGCAGTGACACCAGCCCAGAGAAGTCAAGGCATACCAGCCAAATGGCAAGTATAAGGGTGTTGCTGCCAAAAGGAAAGTCAAAAAACATGGAGATGATGCTGGTGATGTGCAGGAAGACTAGTCTCACCAGAGTCCACAGCCAGAGGGGGGAAAAAGTGTTGCAGCTTCACCTGCTATACTTACTGCACTTCAGTTTTGCACTTAGTGGCACCCATGTGCTTTGATGTTGCCATGTTTGTCCTTGGCATTGCCTTTGTTTGGCAATTAAGTTTGCCACAATCTTGGCATGTTCTTTTTGTGGCAGTTAAGCCAGGAGCCAATAACATGGCTTGACAAATTAGCCAATACCTTGGCTTGGCATGAAGAGCCAATATCAGTGCTTGCAGTGGCTTGTGTCATGTACACACTTGGGCAAATACATTTCATTTGTGATTTATTGCAATGCAATGTTGTGAATGCTTGTGTTTTTTGACAGAGTGGTTGGGTGAAGGGTTGCATAAACCATGCCTATAAAACAACAATCTTGGGATGTATGCATTTAATTTCCCACAAAACAACAAACATGTATGTATCAAAAGGTGCACTGCCAACATGCAGTCCAGCCATTCATGTATGCCTGTGTAGCCATGTGACATTTTTGGATGAATATTTAATGTACAACATATGGTTCCAAGCTTGATGTAAACCATGCACATGCACAACATCAACAGACCTTAGCCCAACCAGTGCAGCAATGGATGGGGCTGGCCCAGTGCAACCTGAGGAGGGTGCTGAGTATGATCCCTTCACAGAATGCCCTGACAAGGAGTTGCAAGCTGGTTTGGCTGGGCATATGAAAAGAGAAGCATCTCCACCACCCTGGGCCCATGCCAAGAGGCCTAGGATCCAACTTAGTGTGCCACCAGTGGCACCAGCTATGGCAGCACCTATGACACCACCAGCCATGGCAGCAGCACCTATGAGTACCATCTACCAAGGGCTACCCTTACAACCTCAAGCTATGCAAGGGTATGGGCTGAGCATGCCAATGGCAATGCCACCTCAGCAGATGCAATATGGCCCTGCTACCATGAAGCCTTGCTACCCAATGCAGGAGCAAGCACAAGGGGCACCCACAGCATGCTGTCACCAACAGTTTGCACCTACAGGACTACCTGGGCAACATGGATGCCATGCAGCACCTACCAACTATAAAGCTTGTCCTGGGCCAAGTTGTGCACCAACAGTTGTAGCACCAAAGCAAGAGATGGCAAGACCTCACATGCAGATTGGCCCAATGTTTCACATGCCTGATGCCAAGCAAGCCTGCCTGGTGGCTATGAAGCCAAAGCTTCTGACACCCAGGCCACCAAAGACTCCACCACCCAAAAGTATGCCAGTGGAAGGTCATGCACCCACAGCTGCCAGTGAGTCTGGAAGCATGCCTGTGAAAGTGGAGACATATGAAGTGCATGGCAGTCCAGAAGAACATGACCAAACCTATGAAGATGAAGAGGACTGGGGCAAGTGGAGACAGTCATGGTCTGTCAGGGGTGCAAGTCAAAAAGGCCAAGAGTGGGAAACTCACTACTCAAATGACACCAAAGAGGAATGGCAGGAAGATGACTGGGATGATAGTTGGAACTATGGGTATGGCTATGGCACCAAGGAATGCAAGAATGATGAGCATGAATATGGCACTAATGACCAGGAGTCCAAGGAGTGGGTGACTGATAGCTCCTATGGCCATGAAAAGGAATGGAATGCCAACAAGGGATACAAGAAGGGCCATGGCAAGGAGAAAGGAAAATCAAGTTGTGGAACCCTCAGTTCAACAAGGGTTGGGAAATGAAGGCTGCCTACCTTGTGGAAGCCTACTTGGCAGAGAACTGGGACAGGTGTTCTGCACTATGCTCCAAGTTGCTTGACATGGCTCATCTATTAGTTGAGTTTGGTGTGTTCAGATTGCTGTTCTTACAAAATAATGAAAAAATGTTTTTGGTGGTGTCTTCCAATATGTTCCAAGCACTGTGCAATCCATGAGGTTCATGACCAACCACAAGTTCAGGGAGTTGGTTGCCAGAGCCAAAAGTCAATGTGACTTGGCCAAAAAATGTTTAGTTTCACTATATTTTTTCTTGTGTGTCAATGGTTTGGAGTTTAGAACTTGAAAATGCATTTGTTGCATATAAATTCAAATTTTGAATTTAAGGCTGTTTTTTGGTGCTTAAAATTCAAAATTTGAATTTGCAGCTCCTTTTTGAGCATTTAAATTCAAATTTTGAATTTAGATACCTTGTTTGGATGCATTAAATTCAAATTTTGAATTTAGGTTCAACAAATATTATAGTAAATTCAAATTTTGAATTTCCAATGTACATATTGTTCAGGAATATTTATTCACAAAGCATATGATTTGGTTACATTTTTTGGGAATGAATCCTCATTCACTTGAGTTTTGATGGTGGCCTAAGGAACACAGTGCTGCACTGCTGCTCACTATGTCGCTATGGTCTCCATGCTTGAAGAAAATACTTTGGTTTGAATGAAACCAAGCATCCAATCTTGAGCCTACTGTGTTTTTAAAAAAATTGTTCAAGTACATTGCACATTCTTGTTGGTGTTGCTAGCCAAAAAGAAGCATTGACTATCAGCCAATATTTCTGGCTATCAAAAAAATGCCAATAGCCATGGCAATAAGCCAAAAGATCACTAGGTTTGAGCCACAGGCCATGGCTGTGAGCCAGTCAAACATGGCTGCATGTCAATGATATACATTGCCATGAGCCTAGATGTATGGCTTGCCAAGGCTCCTGGCATGTGAAGAAGCATGTGTTTGCACCACTCATCAATGACTCAGATCCAACCGCTGCAATGGTTTGCAAAGCATGTTGCATAAGTTTGCTTGTTGCATTGATGCAAGGGCTGTGTGGCTGTCAGGGTGTATGGGCTCCAGGCATCCCTCCTGGTGCAATTTAGTTTGCAGTGAGTTAGAGCTATGAATGTTGTTGATTTGAAGAAAGAGCTCAGTGCTGTGAGTGGCTTGATCAATGCAAGAAGAGAAAGCCTCAACAATGCTGTTACATGTGCTGACAAAGCCAAAGAAGCAGCTTTGGTTGGCAACTTGTCCAAGAAGATCCAGGGCAGCTTAGTGTGCTCCATTGCTGAAGCCCAAAGCTTGTATGACTGCTTGAAGGGCACCAACTTGGAGAATGATTACAAGGATGTCTTGAAAAACAGCATTGACGCTGCCTTGACTTCCGGGGCTACCACCAATGCCATGCCTGTGGCTGTGAAGCCACAGAAGTTGATCCACCTTCAGAACTACCTGACCCACTCTGATTGGAACACCATTGGTTCCCCTGATGCCAGCTACATTGCCAAGTTGAACTGTGTAGCCCAAAGGTGGAGGTCTTTGGGGATTAGAAGCCTGCATGAGCAGACTGCCAAGCATGGTGTGGCAATTCTCTTGTGCCATGTGGCCAAACTTCCAGATCATACCTTGATCAACCAGATGGCCTAGGACTTGAAATCAACTTTCATGTCCACAACCTGTGAAGGCATTGATGCCTTGCCCTATGTCAAGGAATTCCCAGAGAACCACACTCAGCTGCCAAGTGAGCTTGCAGAAGCAGCTTACCATGGCAAGATGCCATCACCCAAGCAGCTGGAGCAAATCAAGCCCATTCTGAAGCACATTGCACTGAGGTCCACAAGCAAGCTTCTGAGGGAGAAGGCTACACAGACCCCTTCTGCATCTAGCCAGCCAGACCAAGGGCATGTCAGCTCTGGAAGTGGCAGCAATGCTATGCAGGCTGAAGCTATGTGTGGAATGATGATGCAAATGTCCAACTTCTTTCAATCCATGAAAGAGCACATGGGCTACATGCAAGGCAATGGGTCACAGCCAATGGCTTCACCCACAGTCTCTAGCAGCATCAAGCTGTCACCTGGCAAGCAGAAACAGGCTTTGGAAGACTTCCAGCCAAAGCCAAGGCAAGCTGCATTGGCACTTGAAGACAAGCATGCTGCCACCCAGCCACCAGAACCCCAAGTCAAGCTGCCAGTGGAATGCCAACAGCACAATGATGAGCACTTGGGCACTTCAGCTGAGGACTATGAAAATGCTACTTTTGATGCTTTGAAAGCCAGGGCCAGTGACAAGAAAAAGGAAAAGGGCATCAAAGCCCAGGGTAAGAAAGATGCACAAGTGACCAAGAAGAATGGCAAGGAGAAGAAGCCCAAAGCAAAGGCAAAAGCACCCTCGAAGAGGCCTGCTGCTGCAATGGGACCTTCTGAGCATGGCCATGGCCAAGCTTCTGGCAATGCTGGCTCCACTCAGTACATCCTGCCTGACCTTGAGAAGCAGGATTTGGAAGTTGCAGGCACTACAGCAAGGCCAGGGTGCATGCCAGGATCCACTTGAAAATGTCAGAGGATGATGCCAAGGAGTATGGCAGAAAGTTTTTGAAGCAGGCAGGAGCCACTTGGGATGCAGCCAAGAAAAGGCTTGGAGGCCACTGAATGAATCTTTTGTAGCAAAGCTACACAATTTGATATGTGCCAATTGCTTGCTGCTTTTGCATGCTGTTGCTGGTACCCAACAGCTTAAAATTCTGAGAGCAACTGAACCTGGGGTTTGGGGGAAAAGGGGCAACTGCATTGCAACTTGTAGTGCTTGACAGAAGCCACACATTTGCAATGCCACTTGGTTGCAGCATTGCCTTCTCAAACAAACCATGCCAACCCATATGCATAGCATTAGCTTAGTGTTTCTATGCCTTCTTGCTGTCTTCACCATGGCTGAATCAGACAGGCCTGCCAAGCAGGCAAGGTTGACTCAAATGAGAAGAGGGCTGCCATATATGAGTGCTTCAGCCATGTCAGCATTGCTGAAAGATGTTAAAGAGACAGGGATGCCAGAAGCACATGGCAGAAAAGATATTAGGGCCTCCAGGACTGCAGCAATTCAATTGGCAAGTGGGCCCTTTGGATCTCTGATCCAGCCAGTGGAAGTCTTTGACAAGAAAGGAAAGCCAATGGTGCTGGACATTATCTCACCACTGGTCTTTGTCACACATGCATTTGGGCAACCTGGAAGCTTCCATGAGGTCATGTTGGATTCACCATGGCAACTGCTGCTATATTCAGATGAAGTGACACCAGGAAATGTTCTTGGTGAAGCCAGAAGAAAGCGCTAGCTTCAAGCAGTTTGGGGCCATTGGGCTGCAAAAGGAATCATGCTGGTTCCCAATCCTGTGTGTGAGGACTTCAGTTGTCAGCCAAATTGATGATGGAATGAGCCAGCTCACAGCTGCAATCTTGAAGCATATTTTTGTTGCAAACACATGCCAAGTGCAACAAGGCTTTTTCATGAAGTGTCCACAAGGTAGCCCTCATTTTTTTGCTTTCACTATGGGCAGTGTGCTCCAAGATGGGGCTGCCCACAAGCTGATGTATGGGTGTAGAGGGGACGCTGGAACAAGGTTTTGCTTCATTTGCATGAACCTTGTAGCAGAGAAGGCATGCTTGGTGCAAGATGGTGAATCCCTGCTGGTTTGCCAGCTCCACAAGACCAGCTCTTTGAGAATGGCAACTGATGATGGTGTTTATGTACTATTGATAGATTGGTTGCCAAAAAGGAGGGATTGACAGCAGCTGACTACAAGGTCTGGCAGCAGGCATGTGGCTTTAGCTACAGCAAGTATGGGCTTCTCTTTGACCCATTGGTGAGGCCAATATTCAAGCCAGTGTCTTCTTTCACCCATGATTGGATGCATTGCATTCTGAGCAATGGTGTGTTTGCCACCTGCATGTTCTCTTGGCTGGAAGCCATTGAACCACACATGCAGATCTACAAGGTTCTGTCTGATTATTTGCCACTGTGGCACCATCCCAAGCACCAAGCTTGCAAACTGGAACTTCTCTTTGCAGACAAGAACAAGAAGAATAACAAGGAAAGTTGCACATTTAAGTCAACAGCCTCTGAAGCTGTGTCACTATTGCCAATCTTGTCTTACTTCATTCAAGCTGTGCTGTGGCCAGCAAATGTGTGCAAGAAAGAGAGCAAGGCGACATGGCAAGGTTTGTTTTGTTTTGTGTGTGCTTGTTGTTGCACATGTTTTTGGCATAATAGTGTTTTGGTATTTTGTTCTGTTGGGTCCAACCAGGTGGTCCTAGATCTCTGCTCCATTGTGGACATTCTCTTGTCCCTGCCAATTGTGAAGATCCAAAGCCAACACTTGGAGGCGGCAATCAACACCTTCTTTGATGCCTGTGGGCATGCAGGTTGGCAGTCGATCTTTCATAGCAAATTTCATTGGCTCACACACATGCCCAAGGAGATGGTTGAAATGGGTGGCTTCCTTCCCAGTTGTTTTACCCAAGAGAGGAAACACAAGACTGTGAAGAAGTATGCAACTTCAATCCAAAATTTGAAGCACTACAACAGGTCCATTTTGGAAGAAATAGCTGTTCAGGATTTGTATGACCTGCAAGAACAGGATTTTTCCAATGCTGCCAGGCTTGCAAACAAAGGTGCATGCAGCAAAAAGGTTTTGGCCTTTTTACAAGGTGCTTTCCCAGATGTGAATGGTGATCAATGCTATTGCTGCAGCAAGGCAAAGCTGTCACCTGCAGGTTCTTGCAGCAGAGGTGACATGGTGTTGGTGCAAGATGCTTCCAAGCTGGTAGCAGGTGAAGTGATGAGCAATTTCGAAGTTTGTGGCACCACTTGGACTTTGCTGCAGAAGATGTCTTTGGCCAACTATAGTGAAGAAAAAGCTTCAGCAAAGTGGTCCAGGGCTGAAGAAGCAGTGGTGCTGATTGCAACTGAGAATATTCAATGTGCAGCTACATGGTCAAATGGCAAAGATGACACCATTGTGACCATCATTCCTTTGCCCTTGAGGGGCTGGTTTGAATCTTGAATATGTATAGCCCACTGACTGTGCATGCAAATGCAGAAAGTGCAGGTGACTGTATGCAATTTGCTGGGGTGTGAGTTGGGACCCCCTCTGTGGGTCATGGAACTGTGATTGCAGCTGTTTTTTTTTGCCAAGATTTGCAAGGTTTGCACAAGCCATAGCCAGACAAGTTGGCTTGCTTGTAGGCAATGGAGGTCCTGTTGAATCTAGAATTTGAATATTCTTTTTGGCAAGCATGCCATGGATGCAGGCTTGACAAGTAGTGTAAGAGACTGCAAGGGGAATGCAACCAAATCTGTCCTTTCAGGTTTAGAGAAAGGTGTTGCCAGATGATGTTTTTCACATGGGATTGGACACATGCCCACTAGATGAACAACTTACAAGCACCATTGCTTTGGTTGGCCTGTTCTGTTGGAAAATGTACTCTTGCATCATATCTTTTGAAGCTGTTGGTGGCAAGGTGACTTGGGCATTTCAAATTAAACAACCCAAAATGCACTAGTTATAGGCATAAGTGGGTTGCACATTGCTGCAAGTTGCCAATCACTGCCACAAATCTTGGCAAAGCTTTGTGTTTGGCTGAATGCATCAATGTCTTTGATGAGAGCAACAAGCGAACATATTTAAAGCAAACTTGGTTACATTAAGCTAAGTGGGCTGTGGCACTTTAGGAATGCGCAAGCTCTTGTGTGCTGAAAAATAATAGGTGAAGATATATTTTGCAAGGTTGCCACAATGTGCAATATCTTTTTCCAAAAATTGCCTGCCCTCATCTCCCAAATATGATTGGGTAGCATGCAACCAATATGATTGATTTTTTCCTGTGCCATGCGAAATTATTTTAAGATGCCTTTGTGTTCCCCATGAGTAGCAGGAAGGCTAAGTACTTAGCTAACCCCTTAGCCTGAGTCAAAATTTGATCATTACAAACAGGCTAACCCCTTAGCAACCTCCAAGCTAAACCATTAACATGGGCATCATCTTAACCCTTTAGCTAGCTAGTTAGCAACCTCCTTATCCATGTAGCTAAGTAGCATAAGCTCTGTTAAGTATTTGGCAACCCCAGGGCCCATCTAAGAGGGAGTGGCTGGAAATGGGTGGGGGGAAGAAGCCGCTGGAGATCAGCGAGCTTGGCTGCGCGCACGGCTGCGGACGGCAAATGGGTGGGGAGAATTGCGCGGACGGCTGCGGACGGCGTGGGTGCAAGGGAGTGGCTGGAAATGGATGTGGAGAAGAAGCCGCTGCATGGGTATGAGCGAGCTTGGCTGCGTGGACGGCTGCGGACGGCGTGGTTGCAAGGGAGTGGCTGGAAATGGGTGGGGAGAACGAGCATGGAAAATGGTTGCTTGTCGGCGGCTGGCTATGTGCGCATATAGATTAACCGATAAAATAGATGCAAAGGGGTGGGGCCAGGGAATAGGTGGGGACATGGGGTAGGATGATTTGCTTTTTTGGGTTCTCGTATTGTATCTAATTTATTAAATGGTGTTGCTTTCCCAAAAGCATCTTCGATGCTTGGATTCTCGTTTAATTGGTTAACCGCGTGTGGAGCGAGCTGCTTTGAACGATGGTGTTCGGACGGTTTGGGCGCAAGGGAAAGGAAGGGAAAGGAAGGGAAAGGAAGGGAAAGGAAGGGAAAGGAAGGGAAAGGAAGGGAAAGAAAGAGAGAAAGATAAAGGAAGGGAAAGGAAGGGGACGGAAGGGACAGGAAGGGAAAGGAAGGGAAAGGAAGGGAAAGGAAAAGAAAGGAAGAGAAAGGAATTGAAAGGAAGGGAAAGAAAGCGAGAAAGATAAAGGAAGGGAAAGGAAGGGAACGGAAGGGACAGGAAGGGAAAGGAAGGGAAAGAAAGAGAGAAAGATAAAGGAAGGGAAAGAAAGAGAGAAAGATAGGAAGGGAAAGGAAGGGAACGGAAGGGACAGGAAGGGAAAGGAAGGGAAAGGAAGGGAAAGGAAGGGACAGGAAGGGAAAGAAAGGGAAAGGAAGGGAAAGGACGGGAAAGGAAGGGAAAGGAAGGGAAAGGAAGGGAAAGAAAGGGAAAGGAAGGGAAAGAAAGGGAAAGAAAGGGAAAGGAAGGGAAAGAAAGGGAAAGGAATTGAAAGGAAGGGAAAGGAAGGGAAAGGAAAGGAGAGGTTGATTTGGAAATCATCAGCCGCCCTCGCATGACCGTGCTCAAATGAGCTTGCTTGGCTATTGCACACCGTCACTCAATGTTTCTGTGCAGAGCTGAAACAATGAAATTTGCAGTGAATACGCCCATAACGTTCATATTCTAAAAAGATGTGGCAAGAGGCGAAAGGGAAATAAACCAATTATTAATCAAATTTGTTTGCTGCCGTTTTGCTTTTGGGTTCTCAGCCCCCCCTGGTTTTTTTTTAAGGATGATTTTTTTTTGTACTGTTTTTAGATACATCTTTGACATCATCATTGCATCAAGACCAACCTTTGGAGGTT